TTCTGTTGATTTGTGACATTTTCCTTCTAAATGTTTATACTGTTATTACAATAATACTATTGTTTCAGTATTTGCTTATATAATAATAATTTATTATGTAGAAACAGCATAGAATTTTGGTCAATCAGCCAGTACATTTTTTTGTATTTCAATCAGAATTATTATTTTCTTTTCTTCTTTACATAAGCTTAGAGTAATACTCAAATATTTTGCAGTATTTGAATATGGAATTTGATTATTTATATTTATTGGACAATACCCAAATATTTTGCAGTATTTGAATATGGAATTTGATTATTTATATTTATTGGAATATTTATTTTGAACGTTTTTGTTAGTAAAGTTTACATAATATATGAAGTTTGTTTCTTCACTTGCTTGTCCAGTCATATTAGTCCAGGGTAATAAGTATTTTCTCGTGACACTCAATAATCCAGGTAGCTGACAACTTTTTTAGTTATTGTAGACCTAAATATATAGATAGTATAAAATTACAAAATTTTATGTTTTAGAATATCAACAAAGCTACAAAATGCCGATATTTGTAAGTTGAAAAATCAATTTATTGCTTTGCAAACTGCAAAATAAGTGACAATTGATATTTGTTAAAAACTTTTAGTAAACTTAAAATTTAAACTTTAGATTTCTACCCAAAGTTGGGTATTGGGGTACTTAACAAACCCTTAAAATGTGGGACCAATATTTTAATTAGTTTAAAAGTTATTGTATTTGTTTATCCCAGAGACCTTTTTTTTTACAACAACATAAAACAGAACATAATAAAGATAGGGTAATGCTGTGGGTAACAAATGAAAGCAATAGACTTATACTATCAATATGTATTAAAAAAAGATAAAAAAATGATTTAATATAGTCAAAAATCCTGATGCTAAATTTTTGAAATTATGTAGTTTATAAACATTTAGAATAACTTTAAAAACATTGTCCTTAAAAAAAATCTTTTTTTTTCATTCAAAAAGCTAGTATTTTTACCCGAATTTTCAAATAAAAAAATTTGGCCTAGGTAAATTTGGGCCAAAGTTAGCCATGTTTTTTTGTTAATTCACAGCTAATTTGATTATAATAATTAAGGATCCTCATTGACGCCATTTTAAAGAATGGGATTTGTATTTTTAACACTAATTCTTTTACCACTGTCATAGGCTGCTTTGAACTCGACAAAGAGATAGTGTGTATCTATGTTATATTCTAGCGACTTTTCTAGAATCTACTTATGTGCTTGAATTTGAGATATAGTTGATTTTGCAGCAGTAAATCCGTATTAATATTGACCAACAATATCCTTTATAAAATGTTTAAGTCTTTCAAACAATATATTGCCGAAGATTTTATACGGAGATGCCAACAGAGTAATGCCTCTATAGTTTTTACAATCCAGTTAATCGCCCTTTTTATGCAACGTATATTATTTCATTTAGCCACTCTTCTGGTACCAATTCATTCTGCCATATAAGTACTATTAGTTTATGGGTTACTGCAAAAAGTTGATCACCACCTTTTTTTATATATTTCCCAACAGATTTATTCGATTCCTGTGGCTTTATTGTCTTTGAGTTTTAGGACGGCACTTGACACTTCTATTATTGTTGGGTCTTCACTGTGTATTTGACGATGTAGATTTTGTTGATTGTCTATGTTGTAACCTCATTCAATATCGTGTATATCATATATTATATAAATATATATGATATGATATAATAATAATGTACTTATTATTCTTTTTCAAGTTCCACTCCTATCGGAGATTGGAAATCATTCTGGCAATTATAATTTTGTTGGTTACGCGCTGGAATAGTTCAATTGAACTGTATCTAAACCATTCCCGGTGATTGCGTAACCAAGAGATTTTACGTCTTCCTACGCTTCTTCTTCCTTTGATTTTACCCTACATTATATTCCTTATTAGTTCGTATTTTTCACCTATCATGATGTGCCCCAAGTATTCCAATTTCCTGATTTTTATGGAATTTAAAACTTCGCATTGTTTTCCTAGTTGTTCGAGAACTTGTTCGTTTGTTTTGCGATCCATTCATGATATTTTCAAAATACGTCGGTAACACCACATTTCGAATACTTCTAGGTTTTTAATGTTGGATTTTTTAAGTGACCAAGGTTCAATCCATACAAAAGGGTAAAGAAAATATAACATCGAAACATTCTTATCCTGAGCGATATACTGATATCGCGATTACAAAAAAGTTTTCCCATTCTATTAAAAGTTGACCGTGCAATTTCAATGCGGCATCTTATTTCTTTTGTCTAATCAGTATCTGCTGTGATCCAAGCTCTAAGGTATTTGTACGAAGATATTTGTTCAATTTCTGTATTATCTAGTACTAGCTTAACTTTGATGCTTTGTGCTTTTGTAAATACCATGAACTTGGTTTTCTTCAAATTTATTTTTAGTCCAAAAAATGTACCTATAATATGATATAATCCCTATAAAACGTCTCAATTCGGTTGTTCCATTGTTCTTTAAGTTCTTTCGAGCTCATTAAGTTTTTTATTCCTTTCATCCGTGTTTTCTAAGGTAATCCTCTCTTCTGGATTCCTGTATGTGTTCATATAGGTACTTGTTTCAGAAGTCTACTGTCTTTCATTCATTGGACCTGTAGGTACCATTTGAGCTGCTCTCGTTGTATGCCATCCATGACTGTACCTTCTATTCTCATACTTTATTGCATCCAGTTCTTCGTATCTTCGTATAAAGATTTCTTCGATGTATCTGTTAATCGTCGTGTTTCACAACCGTATAAATAAAGCATGCTTTTTACCACAGTTTCATGGGTTGTAGTGCTAGAGAGAGCATGTCAGCTGAGCCAAAACGAAAAATAATCCTCCTTATTGCTTCCACTGGAATAAGCTTGACCGTTCAACTGGGCCCGGACTACCTCCTTCTAATTCTTTAAACTCCTGTTTTGAAATTAATAATACTCATTATTTTGTCTAATTACCTATTTAGTTATCAAAACAAATACATTGTTACCCAAAGAAATGAAAGTGGTTCAATTTAGAAATTATATAGTAAATAATAAATATTTGAAAACTGATGCACATATTCCTCCCGCGATTTGGGCTTCAAGTACTAATTGTATGAATCGCACTACTAATAGACGTAAATCCTTTCATTTTAATTTCATGAATATTTTTATTCGCCACATCTCAACATTTCCATTTCAGAATATTTATCATCAAACTCTAATCTACGTTAAAAACTGTAGAACAATTTGTCAGTAAAAAAAGGAACAAAAGAAAATATAAGACATAAAACTGTGACCTTAAAATATCTTGTTATACATTATTTTGTAATAAAATTTTATAAAAGTTTGTCTTCGATTTGATTGTTATGATTTACAGGACAATTATTTGTTACCTGTATGTACCCTTGCTGAGTTGTGAATTAATTATTCAATAAATAATATTACTCTGGTATACTCGTATTATTCTAATTACCCCAAAACCGCACTGAATAGAAGGCCGCCCACTTTATTGTATAGACCCAAGACTTTTCACAATAGGGGGTTGTATAAGGTAGGTATAAAGCTAACCTCTAGTACAAGATGACGTTTAGAATATTCTTTGTGAATGGATTTTGTTTTTGTAAAGAAAGATATTTTTGAAATAGATATCTCTTTGAATTTTACCGTTACAATTTTCGAGGATAAGCCTTAATAAAACATTTGACTTCCGAAAAAAAAAAACCACCAAAAATAACATCAATAACAACCTAAAATATAAAGAACACGAATTGTAACAACTTGAGGAAGAAAGTAAACATAAGAGGCGTAAAATGTCTAAACAATGTTATAAAAGAAATAAGAATAAACACGAAAGAAAATTCGCCAAAAATCGGATGAAAAAAGTTTCCACCTACTGCAAGGTCTGTCCAAATGCCTCTTTTATGTTTATCTTGTTTTAATCAAATTTATACCAATATTAAGTAAGCACTAAAAATAATTGATAGTTTTATACGTGTTATATTTATTTGTAATACCAATTCATAATTATTTACCTAATTATAATCTATGTACCTACTACTAATGAGTTATATGTATTGTTTACATAAAAGTATAAATTAGCTTAAGTCTATCTGTTCTTTTGCTTAAAAAACATATAAATAACATTGTTAATTTTTTTATTATAATGAGGTAAGCAAAACAGACAAAAGAAACGAGTAACCATCAACAATTCTTGAAGTTAAAGACGCATTTAGAATACTAGCAAGAAACAAGTCATGAGGACTAGATAGTCTGCCAGCTGAACTATACAATTAAAGTGACCACGGTACCATAACAACACCAAAGCAGATCATGAAAGAAATATGAACTCATTTCCTCCTATAAGTTCACCTAGTTATAGTTCACCCACTTCCACTGTAAACAAGTGTATCTGTATCTTGACTGGGAAATGTCCAGTAAGAAAGGCTTTTTTAATTATAAGCTAATTCCTACTTGTTTTCTGCCCAACTAGCCTTATTAGTGCGACAAACCAGTGTGTAACCTCTTAATATTGTCACACTAGCCGTGAGTTCGCTTTAGATCTTATTAGATCCCCATGGCTATTTCGGATCCAGTGTGGCTAGGTAATATTGTTTTAAATGTCATCCTATTTTCATTCAACATAATAAAAATTGGAGTTTTATTTGTATTCATGTTCTATAACTAAAAATAAAAGAACAAAATACCTTTAGAATGTCTATACCATAATTTATACAGAATCATCATCCATACATCAATAAAGTATAAGGAATAACTTAAAAAACAGGACTGACAATGACTAGATCTGAGGCTTGTAAGAATATATAGTACATGAATACTTATATATTTTTTAAAAAAAGTCTTAAACCTTAAACCAACAGCTTTAAAAATAACTGTTAATAAATATTTTAATAATGTAGAGAAGAAAACAAACAGAAACTAGTATAATATTACTTTAGTATAGTTGTTTTTGCTTTATTATTAATTAACTGGTAAACTAACCTGTGCATATAAACCATAAACATATTAAAACACCCTTAACTTTCATAATATCACAATCACACGATCATCAAGAATAATCATTTGTTTTTAACAATAACTATAATAAAACAAATTGGAATTTCGCGTTCTTTTTCACTGGTAATTCCCGATGATAAAATATGCATCAGTTTTTACTCTTTACTATACCATGACCGGTTTATATAATAAATGATCTTAGTTCATTAGTATTAAGATAATACCGGACAGATTTGATTTAATAGTTATAAAAACTAAATTACAGCTGATCTTTGATCTTTTTAAAAACCAGAATTTTTGAAAAAGTTGTACATATAATATGAATAATATATATATATATATATATATATATATATATATATATATATATATATTTATATATATATATATATATATATATATATATATATATATATATATATATATATATATATATATATATATATATAGTTTGTATAACGACGCTAAGAATACAATTCTTTGGAGGATAACTTTCGGGAAAGCGTCAAAAACAAAGATCAGCTAGAGATGGTATAAGCCAGTTTGGTGTAGAACTTTATTCTAAATGTGAAATTTTCGGTGATATGTTGTCACCTTCATCAGAACCTAAATGGAAAACCTATTTTAGTACAAGTGGTGGAAATTAACATTTAAAACCTACATTGAAAATGTTCAGTTGGTCCTAGAGGTGAAGAACACTGTCACAAACATGTTAAAAATATTAAAAAATACATTTAAAATTTTGAATAAAAACATTACAACACAACAGGGTATTATTTAAAATACAAACACAACAAAAATCTAAAAATTACAACCTACAAGAACTGCAACTTCACGTTAAAGGTAGAAAAGAAGAATTATTCTTCTTTTTTGATGACATATTTCTGACTTCTGTCAATATCCGGGTGTCATATGCAACGAGGTTATAATTTTCACGTTAGAACCTCATGGATATGGAAAGAAAGAACCCCAGGAAACACAATCAGCAGGGAAATGAAGTCTTTTCTCAAGTACAGGTAGGCAATCTATGCATGTTATGATAAGTTCCCTACATTCTCCAGTTTGTTACATCTTGTCAAGTCCTGTTGAAGTAGAAAGGAATAAATACAACTTAAGTTTTCAACATCTTTCTTACAGTTCATAGAAGAACTGCAGTTATGGATGTAGCACATTTCTATGAAGTACAAGTACCAAGTGCAAGTACTAAAGAGGGTTGACAACCAATTTAAGAGAAACTTCATAGAAATGTGATGTGTTGATGATTGTGTTTCCTGAGGTTCTTTCTTTCCATATCCATGAGGTTCTAACGTGAAAATTATAACCTCGTTGCATATGACACCCGGATATTGACAGAAGTCAGAAATATGTCATCAAAAAAGAAGAATAATTCTTCTTTTCTACCTTTAACATGAAGTTGCAGTTCTTGTAGGTTGTAATTTTTAGATTTTTGTTGTGTTTGTATTTTAAATAATACCCTGTTGTGTTGTAATGTTTTTATTCAAAATTTTAAATGTATTTTTTAATATTTTTAACATGTTTGTGACAGTGTTCTTCACCTCTAGGACCAACTGAACATTTTCAATGTAGGTTTTAAATGTTAATTTCCACCACTTGTACTAAAATAGGTTTTCCATTTAGGTGCTGATGAAGGTGACAACATATCACCGAAAATTTCACATTTAGAAATAAGTTCTACACCAAATTATCCTCCAAAGTGTATATATATATATATATATATATATATATATATATATATATATATATAAGTCAAAAAAGTGTTTCGTGATATAAAAAGTGTCGCAGTCGCAGTAGGATCTGGAAACGTTGGCAGAACAAGGAAGAACCTAACTGACAACGGTGGATTCCAATCCTTTAATCAGAAAAAGAACCAGAAAACTCCAAAAAGCAGTGCTGTCCTAACTTTGCCGATATCTACGGAAGGAACACCAAGTGAAGCCCCTGGTAGATTAGCTGTCGAAAACAAGACGACTAGATGTTTTTGGAACTAATATGAGTCTAACATTGAATCATCTCGTATATAATTTTTGTTTTCTATCATTTATTACCATATACTGTTCGATATTCCAATATTAAATATTCTTTTAATTAATAATTTTATGCCGAATTTGAATATATTTTTGATAATTACTTTAATAATTATATATATAATAAACTTTTGGCGATTATTCTGTAAATCGTCAACTTTTTTTAATTTTCATTTTATTTAACGATTACTTTTGTCTATTATTCTGCTAATCAGACACTGTCTTAGAAAAATACTTTTCCGATATTTTGATTTTATTATTTTAATATTTACATTTTCGATTTATTATTTTGATATTTACATTTTGTTTTATTATTTGATATTTACATTTGATTAATTATTTAGTTAATTAATCCATAATCTTATATTTTTGTTTCCATTTCGTTTATTGATTTAATATCCACCATGAATGACAACGGAAACATTTCTCGTCCCGCGTCTCCTATGAGAACCAGCCTGAAATAGAACCTTACAAATTATCCGAAATATTTTCTATCGTACCTGAATTTGAAGGCGATCAGATATTTTTACACACATTTTTAAATGCTTGTGATTATGCCTACAATATGTCTACGGGTGATCAAAAACAGCTATTAGTAATTCACATAAAAAATAAATTACGAGGAAGATCAGCACAACTCATAAGTTCAAGAAATACATTATCGTATCTAGATTTACAGAGAGTCAAACAACTTCCGAATGAGTCGGCTCTTACATCCCTTAATCGTGTCCAAGTCATTAATGCAAAAATGCATGCTAATATACAGAAATCTAACATCTCTGCTGTAGAGAAACATGCCCAAATCGTATTAATTGAATCAATGGCGCTGAATACCTTATTGACAGGCCTTGATCCAAAAATCGCTCATATTATTCGTGCTAGTAATCCAAAAGACCTTCTTGAAGCTCAAGTCCGCATCAGACGAGAGTTACAATTATCCTATTTCGAATTACAGAAAATCAATAGATCTAATCCACCAAAACCCAATCAAAACAATCAACCCATCAGAAGACCAAACTTTCAACCACATAGATGCACGTTTTGTGGACGTATGGGCCACTTTGACAATAAATGTCGTTCTTCGACAAAATTCCCAAAATAACTCGCAGAATTCAAGCAACACCCATAATTTTAACAATTCCCGAACTTTTAATAGCCATCAAAACTTTAATAATGGTGAAAATAATGGCTTTTAAAGACCAAGTTTCAGTTCAAATAACAATTTTCAAAACAACAGACCCAATGACCAACAAAGACCTCAATTCACATCATATCAAAATAATTCACAAACATGCCCTTGTGTAATACATAAGAATCCTAATTTTTCGAACGATAGGCACAGAGTTCATTTCGTTAACAATGAACTTAAATATGCTAATAACTTTACCCCAGCTCCAAATGAAAGCTACCAATATGAAGATTTCTCTGATAATAATTATTCGCCTCCTGATTATTACCATTCATTTGATCAATCAGCCGATTTAATTAATAGCCAAGACTATCAGGATTTGCTCACAGTCGCGAACCAGAACCACCCACTAGACAATGCCAGTTTAATGAACGAATCTTTGTCTCAAATACAGAATCAGATTCAAACTCTGAATTTGGACGACATGAACCCATCTCTGAACTTTCCAGATCAGAATTTTCTCTAAGCCCTCTTCTTCCTGTGAACTCTAAAAACCTGTACTATATAAAAGACGCATCAAATGCTTTTAAATTACTTATCGATACCGGTGCTGGTATCTCTATCTTTAAAGAAAATACAGTGAAAAATTTCAAACCACGTTTTCCCGAACAAATTACTATACAGAGTATTACAGATCAAAAGGTTCTTGTCACTGAATCAACTTTGGTCCCGTTTCAAGTGGGAAACTCCCATAAGGTTTTCATTTATAATTTAGATATTGATTTCGATGGAAGATGATTAGACCTCGATTTCTTGGAACATTACGAGTGTACGATAGATCTCAAAAACAAACAACTAATCACTAACTTTAAAACATTACGTCTCCACAAAGTAGAAACTAATTCGCGTAAAAATGAACCCCCTAATCAAATTAAAATAGATTCCAGATCCGAACAAATATTCAAGTTAAAATATCATCTGTCAAATACGGATTCAATTTTGCACAGAAAAGAAAAAGAAAAAGTCCATATCCCCAACGCGTTAGTACACGTAAATAAAAAAGCAGAATTTCTGACATCCGTAGTAAACGCAAATGCAATTCCCAAAATTATCGACTTTTCCGATACAGCAACTGAACCCTATTTAAACTACCCTATCCTAAATTTCCAGTCGAACGATAACTTGAAAAATTATTGCTCCGATAAAATTGACCGTACCAACAAAATAAAATCTCGACTTCGAACAGAACATCTTAACGAGGAAGAACAAGAACTAATAACAAATCTTTGCTTAAATTACGAAGACATTTTACTTAGAGGGAGACAACCTCACTTTCACCAGTGAGATCAACGAGGAAGAACAAGAACTAATAACAAATCTTTGCTTAAATTACGAAGACATTTTACTTAGAGGGAGACAACCTCACTTTCACCAGTGAGATTAAGCATCAAACTGAAACTAATAACGCTAAACCCATTTTTACGAAATCATACAGATATCCGCAGGTTCACAAAGAGGAAGTTAAATCTCAAGTAAATAAAATGATCAACGAAGGTATCATCCGGCCCTCTACTTCTCCTTGGTCATCTCCTGTTTGGCTCGTTTCCAAAAAAATGGACTCTTCTGGAGAACAAAAATGGCGAGTAATTATAGACTACCATAAACTTCAAAGAAAGAACATTAAAACTTTATATAAAAATTGTCCGATCTTTTTTCGTATTTTGTCATCAATTAATAAAGTATTTATTTTTTAAAAATAGTTTTGCCTAAGGGAAAACTATAAGTGGCGCAGTTAGTACAGATTTTCGGGAAAATCCATCGCGGAAAGTTCTTTGGGTTTCAACCCTTCGCAAAAATCGAGAACCAATATCCGAGTTTTGCCAATGAACTCCATCGAGGAAGACAGTGTGCAGTACGGATGTGGTAAGTAATTTTTGTTTATATCAGACTCCTCTTCTGAAACGAATCCTTTAGCGAAATCGATACTAACGAAGAGTTGGGCTTAATTAATAATTTTTGTAAATTAGACTTAAAAGATAAAATGGCAACAC